GGGCATCAAGTTGAACCCCTGGACAGCTTCCTCAGAAGGACTAGTCCCGGGCCTTCCCGAGCCCCAGCAAATGTTGATGGCCCAAGGCAACAACATGCAACTAGAGAAGCCAACCAGAGGGCGGTGAAAAGACTTGCTCGCCTGGGTAAAATTGCATCCTCTGAACGGATCAACGCTCCGGCAAATCCCCGTGACACACACGCGTTCCCCCCGCCCAAACAAAAATAACGCTATAGCAACTTGACCATGTCTACTCGGTGAATTCTTTCATGTCCCTACCCCACTTATTCTTCTTTTTCCCACCCGCCTCATTTGCCCTACCTGCGTTCTGCAGGTCATCCAGCCCCGCACTGGGTCCCCAATCGCGGTCGATTGGAGACCTCAAGAAGGCAACTATCACATTCCGAAAGACGCATGATAACGTCTAACCTATCAATTTCTCTTCAGCGTGGAGCCGAATCATGCTGCGCCAAAGGCAAAGCAGTATCGGGGGGTTCAGGTCTTGATGCGCGGGGAGAACCTGTCGAACTGATCGGGCATTTTGTTTGTCACAAGTGACCTCCAAGCACCAGCGGGGAATTCTGTGTCAGCCAAACACAACACAACCCTACCTGGTCATTATCCTCAAGCTCACCACGTGAGCCAGAACGGTACAGTATTCATGGAAGAACTATTCGCTGTATGATCGGAATCTACAAAGCCTCAGCCCCGCGCAATGTTATCGCGCAGCCACTGTCGACGGTACCATAATAATGCCATATTCCTGATCTTTGAGCATGAGGAGCAAAGGCTCGCAGCTGAGGGCCGACTCAACAAGGACAGGCACCTTCTATTCTTGGTCTCCCGGGTCCTAGATCGAGCGGAAACCGAGCCGAAATCACCCAATAAATGTCACTGTTCTATGTCGCTCGGGGGAATGTGAGAGCATTCTCAGGACATGTTTAGACATAGGTGGCTCTATCTAAGACCTTTGTATACATATGAGCTGGATTGGTTCGAGAATGACGTCTCCGAGCGGCTAGCAGTAAGAGAAATGCCTTTTCTGTTGCCCCACGACATATATGGATTATTTTATATAGCGATACTCAAGCAAAAGCTTCTAGAAATAAGTTGTTATGTGAAAGATCATAAGTTGATTTGGAACATGGAAGTATCAGACCAGAAGGAGTTTTTCAGGATGGAATGGCTCTCATAAAAATTCTCTTTTGAGGAAAATAGCCACGTGAGAACTGTTCTGAAATCTAAATACATATAAGAACCATACAGTCTTGGGAAACACCTCTTCGAAGCGCAGGCCTTCTAGAAGGCTGGATCTATAGCCAATGCGATCATAGAACATTGGGTATAGGAGCCTACAGCATGGGAGGTGGCTGCTGTATGAGTCATTGAGACTACTCCGTAGACAAAGAACGTAAAATAATAATGACTCATATCTCATTTATCACAGCGGTGCTGACACGTTAGTACGGGTAGTGAAAAGTGGGTCTCCTGCTTGCGGGCCTAGTGATGCGGATGTCCAATGGTTACGAAGCGACTTCCAGCTGAACCGCAGTCGTTCCTGCCAAGTATCAGAAGTAAATGTTGATTGGCCTCCCGGCCTAATAATGTGCGTCAATACTGCGTACTTCCCGCAGCAGCCCTCTTAAAGTGTTCCTCGATTTGTACCGCTGCGGGTCCGGCGAACTTTAGTACAGATAGCCGTCTTTCTTATAATTAACCGGTCGGCGCAATAGTCGCACAGGGAGGGTGATGAAGGGTGACAGCGTTCCAATAAGTATGCGAAAGGTGAAGCGGGGTGGCAGATAGGCAACCTAAATAGACATCATGGCCCATCTCTTACACTTATGGGATATAAGGGTGCTCTCAGCTTCGGCTAACACGGCACAAATGAGTGGAGATCAGTGATGAAGTACCTTACTAATGTCGATCCCAAACGCCATCGCACGGTGTACCAAGGGTGAGTAGCCTTGGCTGGAAGGGAGGCAACTACCAGCAAGGGATCCAGAACAGCTGGCATTCGTGGGTTGTAAACGCTGATCACCTGTGGTGACTCGTACTCTGTTCACAAGCAATAGCTGCTACATTGCTTATAAAAATCAAAGATAGGCGTGGATTCGATTACCCAAGAAGACTACTTACAGTTGATTGCAGAAATGGCGCAAAAGCGCTACACTTTCATGCTCTTCAAAGCGGGCCCGCTATTCTCTAAATAGTCAGCGCTTCTCGTTCTTACCAATCAATTGAAGCCGAGCATTAAGCTACTAATCATTTCTGGACTAGCAGCTTCTTTCTCAAAGAAGAAGAGAGTATAGACTTTTGCGCCATTATTGCAACGTGGTGTATCTTCAACCAAAGGCGAAACGGCAGAACGGGCAACCGAGGCTCCTGGGGTCAAGCTGTAAGGTGTAGGGCTCGGGCGACGTCGCCTGGTCATTCTAGTCTTCGGCAATGGCCGTGGGCCCTTCTTGGATGTAGGCGCGTGGACCTAGATCCGGAGAACGTTCGGAGCCATATGGCCGAACCTCCGAAATGCCTAAGCATTGCGCTGCGCACCGGCACGTCAGCCCAGCGCGTCGAGCTTAAGGGGAGCCAAGGCCAGTTGAACATAATCCTCCGGAAGTCAACTGCCCAACTCTTCACTTCATAGTATGACAGTATAGTAATCCTTTCTCTTGGTTCAACACCTGTGGCACAGCAACAACTGCCTAGTTGCTGTCATAGTTGAACATGTTGAACCACTCACAAATTGAATGTCTAGGGATAGACAGGGGGTTTGGGAGGATTAAGTACGCGGAGACAAGCCCAGGCCTATAGTGAGCTTCTTCTGTCGCTCACTATGTGAGTTATGGGGTGTTCTGCTTAGCAATATACCAGGCAGTGCTTTTCTCAATCCTTGACTGGAGTCCCTGTTGTACCGTAAGGTCCTTCACCAAACCAGTAGTCAGAGAAGGCTTTCTACGCGTTGGGCAAATATATACGTGCGGGCTGGCGCCGAGCGCATGCTTGGGCATTTTAGGGGCTCGGGTGCTTGGCCCTGGACGTCTTGTGGATCTAGGTCCACGCACCTAGATCTAAGAGCTGTCTAGAGTCACTGCCTTAGGCCACAATGACTGAGCCACGCTGCTCAGGCATTACAGCTTGACCCACAGACCTAGGTCTACAGGATATCTAGAGCCAAGTAGCTGAGTCCGTATGGGATCTGGTAGACTCTGACAATAGGACCCACGCGCTTAATCCCAGGGAATTTTCTCCCCAAATCTCCCCCAGGCCCAGGGACTTCCCCCAGAGACTTTCATCCCCCAAGGACTTTTCTGATTGATTATTGATTTATTCATACATACTGTCCCGGCCGCCCAATTATTGGCAGGTATGCAGCGTGTAACTTTCGCTCACTTTCAGCCTTGTTATGCGCGTTCAAGTCACGAAGACGAGGCTGAGCAGGCGAGCCTAGCCACCAATGATAATTTTAGCGCCTACCGCGCCAGGAAGGCTGACGAAATTTTCTTTGATTTACCAAGTGTTGCCACGACTGACAACGTAAAACCCATGCAGTACGGAGGTGTGTTTCAATAGTCACGCTAGTGATTTTGCGGAAATACGTAATACCTTATGCATCACATGACCATGCCCAAATACGTTATACATTGACACCTGAATTACCATAACTGTAATAACGTAACACGTGACTGTGTTTGGATACCACGTGAGTAGCTGTGAATGGATGGATTACTATGTATTACTGCCAAGACGCTGTAATGTGACAGGTCATTTCAATGACTTTTGAAGCACACCTCCGTACACCAGCAGGAAATATTCGCATGCTAATTTTATAAATTGAGAGGCTATGGAATTTCTCTTAAGATTGCAAATAAGGCTTAGCTTATAAATTATAAGAAGGCTATAAGAGCCCTTCACGCCCGGGCCTTTCTATGGGGCAATGCTTCCGGGAGATATGTCCCACCGTTTATTCTATCCTTAGTAGTCGCTAAAATGTCCTGGAGCACCATTGGTAAGTAGCCGATAGCTCCAACCTCACTTAACTCCATCCAAATAATGCTGATTAGTGTTGTTTTGCGCTAGCACCCTGGCAAACGCAGGACCAGAATGAGGACGAAAAGCCAACGCCCAGTCAATCTTCAGACGTCAATGAATCCGACATAGTCTCCCCGCTCATTTCCTCCTGTGGCCAGCTACTCTACAAAACTGCATCTGCAGTACTGCCATCTTTCAACTTTTTTGGAAGTAAACCGGTGAGATAGGCAATAATTACTATATTTTATCTTAGCATCAGAACTGAAATACTGAGATCTTACTAGGAGCAGCAGCGGGACGAGCCATGGCAGCTACACCATCATGAAAATATAGTGGAGCAGTGTGGTGCCGATGAAAATGACCACGCACCAGTTCATAACGATGACCTCTTACTAACAGAGTCGCTGGACTCTGCTTTATCACAAGAACCGCAGCTACCAGAGCTGCATCATTGCGACTTTGCCTATGATGTCATGGCCGGTGCGCCTGGAAAGGAGCAGCTCCGTCGATGCATGTTGCTTAGCTTCCACGCAGATACCAACGTTATGTCGAAAGACGCACACCAGAGACTTGGAACGAACATCAAGCCTTATCGCGGGGCTCCTGTCCCAGTTTTGGGACTTCAAGATAGCATACCAGTTGGAATTGCAGAAGTTCAGTGGTCTTTCTGTGGGCGCAGCAAGCCTTACCGGACAGTGTTCTACGTTGTAGAAGATGTTGAATATGATCTTCTCATCGGAAGACCTTCGATGCGGCAGCAGGAGCTGTACCGAGTGGATCCCGCCATTGCGAAGAGGCTTCGTGAATCGTATATCAATGTCAGTAGGCTCAACTAGTGGAGGAAGGGCGGACGGACTTGGGAGCATGTTTCCACTCTTTTTGTTGCACACATCAATCCAGCATGTCCCTCTATACGCTGGAATGGACCCCCACAAACTTCCTAATGATAGCTTAGGTGTAATCATGCCTTACAGGTAGCCGCACTCTGGATACCGGACATGTTCAACATTCAGGAATCTTGTCGGCTGGATATTTGCGTAAAGATACTCTCCCTATATTGGTTGAATCGGAAAATAGGTAATTCCCACTGTACGCCACAGTACTCATAATATAAGTTGGAAACACTGTACAATCCCTCACGTGACTGAGGTTTTGCGTCACGTGAGGGATTGTACAGGTGCTGGTTACTATACATTACTGCCCAGACACTGCAATGTGACAGGTCATGTTAATGACTTTCTGGCACAACACCTCCGTATACTGCTTACGTATCCAGCACAACAAGCGGGTACCCCACCGCCTAACTCACCCTGGTGGTCATTACGAGCAGACACCCATAATACACCTGCGATATGAAAGCCATGGCTGCGACACTGTTAATTGGACCAACGAAGTCCTTATGCTTATCTAAGTTGGTTTATCTGACATTCGACCTCGAAAAGTATGTGTCACGTGACCAAACCCGGAAACGTACCAGTACTAGCTTTTGCTTGGCCAACTTCCCATACAGTCGGAATTGCCCCTGGCGAATGCGGCCCCAGACAGGTTGGAACTGGCCAGTAATTTCTGTGATTTGCCTTCATGGGAGTCTCGTCTGGCATCTTATTTCACAGTAGCAGAGTATTTCTTTTGTGCATCACCTCGCAACTTAGGTGTCCAACGCTACTGAACATGAGACAAGTTGAGCACCATCCTTCGAACCCCCTTCAATTAGGAACCCCATCCATTTTTAAAACCAATCGTATGTACATCCATCCATTTTTGAACACTTATCAGTTTTGCTTAGCCATCTTTTTTATTCAGTCTATCGATCCGATTGTGAGATCCTTTTCTGGCCCTTGAGCTATTAGAAATTGCATCCTGACAGGGACTTTCGCCCCGCCTTAAAGGGAAAAAGAAAAAAAAAAAAAAAAAAAGGAAATTCATTTTATCCTTTCTGACCAGCCGAAAATGATCGCCCCCCAAGAGTAAAGGGCCCCCGCAGGGACCGCCTTCCTCCTTATAAATGATAATCCTGCCCCCTTCCCTTCTCTCTATTTATGTTCCTCAACCATCTTATCTTCCCATAATATCTGCCTGCCATTATTGCCAGTCACCCCACGATCCCACCATCTCCGTTGTCTCTCTTTTCAGTAAACGCGGTCACTTGACTCCCTCTCTTAAGCCATAGCTCGCCGCCCACCACATCACAACATTAGCCGTAGCAGCGACAACAACGAATCGCTAGTAGTGTGTCTTTCTGCGCAGACTCAGACAACGCCGCCGATCTGGATTTCCCGATGGACCTCACTGATGTCATAACTTTGACTTACCTCCACCCACTGGCCGCTCTCTTTCATGATAATGCATTTTGCCCCGGGGATGAGGTCAATGCAAGGCCTTCAATGCCTGTTCCCGGAAGGTGGCTGCCAGCAGATGTCTGTCCCATTGAAATAGGACAAGGCTGATTACTATATATTCTGCCATGTCGAGAGCATCCGTGGCAAGATTCATATTTATCTCAAGCACCCTATCTCTCAGAGTACATTGTCACGACAACTCGTGACGTTTAGCGAGATTGCCGGCTTTATGAAGTCATTATTCATACATCAACGTCAGTATGGCGGCAGCACCATCCTCAATAAGAATGGTAAGTCCTGGCGCATGCCCGTGGCTCCCTAGGCTCCCTTGATCTAACACCTATGCGGAGCAACTAGGTATATTACAGCTTATCAGCGATACATAGAAGAACTTAATCATGAAGCATGCGGACATCCAAGTCTTTTTGGACCATTATCTTTCTCGATGAATAGACACCGATGTGCAGGCAATGAAAGGAGGCCTTGAGCTGGATTTTGCAATATCGCGAGCCCTATACGGATAGGATGATGGATTAGCCGACGCCGATCCCGAGAACTTACTGGTACGTGGAGAGCTACAGTCGATCAGGATCCAGAGATTCAGAAAGCTATTCAGAAGTGGGATGTATTCAGCCGGAAACTTCATCGTCGTCGGTAAAGACTGATTGAAGGATTGGTCAACACACCGATTTTAAGAGACAAGTCACAAATACACGATATAGACTGCTGTATGCCGTCTGCCAGCGTGTGCGGGAGTGAGTGAGGGATAAATTCACGCCACAGAGCGCCTTCTTCCACAGCGAACATACCCCAGGCAAACTGTTGAAGTGGCCCATTTCGTAGAAGCCGAGTGGCGGCGACGGAATGAGACCAGTTGAGGCTGTACCGTTGTACTGTGATGTCCTGGAAGGTGGCCCGCGAGACGATGACCAAAGCGAACAATTTCCGTGGACAGCCGAATTGAAGACTCCCAGGGAGGGGGCGGTGGTGCAGGTGCCTCCCCTTTCTACGTCGGCCTCAAAGTACGAAGCCACTTTGCGGGCAGCTGCAGATTAGCCTCGCACATGTTTCCACTGTTCAAGCAATACTCCCACCACAGAGGTTTGACATAACACTTTCGATACTCCCCTGTGGTGGGCTGTGTTGAACAAACCCGAGTGTATTCATAGAAAATGCACCTTGGGCAAGCCTTTAGAGTATCTTGCCACGTCCGGTACCAATATTTGTGCTCTCGGAACAATATTGATTATCATCATAAACTCAATAAGCGGAACATGGTCAACGCGCACTATGTATCATCAGAGTGGTCTCAGAGCGCATGTTCTCCAGGCTGATTAAGTCGCACGAATTTGGATGGACGACCGACCAGGTCTTTGGCCTGGAATGGACGCCAGTTGGTGGTCGTACGCCTGTGCCGGTCGTGCGACCAGCGTCCTGAGACTATATGGGTCGGGCGCACAAGGTCTGGCGTACCTGGTGCTCAGTCACAGGACCTACGCCTCGCACCGAACGACCCAGTTCGTCAGCACCCAGGTCCACAACTCCAGCCCTCTGTTCCGATGCACCCGACCTGTATGATGTTGAGACGCTGGTCGTACGACCAGCACAGGCGTACGACCACCAACTGGCGTCCATGCCAGGCCGAAGACCTGGTCGGCTGTCCATCTTTATCATCGCGACCTAATATTTAGCTGGCTTTATAAGCCATATTGATATGGCCCTGTCGGCAAGCCAGACCGCCGGCCTTACGACTCTCCCCTCGAAATTAAGTCTCTGCTTGCCGTTGGCGTTCTTCTGCTTGTTTCCTAAGCTCAGTTTCCCGCCGGCGTTCCTCCTCCACCCTTAAGAAGAGCGCTTTGTAATTTGGTGGGCTGCTTTTAGCCATTTGCTTGATGTCGGTTTGTGAAACAGAGCCAATTCCGACCGGCGCTCGTCAAGGCGGCAGGCCTCAGTCAACCGACCAAGGAGTCGGTGAAAGTGAATTTCCGGGTACTAACCGGGCGGCCAAATAAATGAGGACTGGGGGAACCCCTGGAGAGCGGGCTTGGGCGGGGCTAGGTCCTCAAGTCAATTGTATATTGAAAGGCAGAAATAACTAGATTGCTGCGGTCCATGTCAGGAGTTACCCGGCACGGCCGCGTCCAAGATTGATTGATTGATTGATTGATTCTATGTCGCTCGGGGGAATGTGAGAGCATTCTCAGGACTGGTTTAGACATAGGTGGCTCTTTCTAAGACTTTTGGATACATATGACCTGGATTGGTTCGAGAATGACGTCTCCGAGCGGCTAGCAGTACGAGAAAAGCCTTTTACGTTGCCCTACGACACATATGGATTATTTCATGTAGCGATACTCAAGCAGCAACTTATGGAAATAAGTTGATATGTGAAAGATCATATGTTATGGGACATGGAAGTATCAGGCCAGAAGGAGATTTTCAGGATGGAATGGCTCTCATGAAAATCCTCTTGTGAGGAAAATAGCCACGTGAGAATTGTTCTGAAACCTAAATAGAAACAAGAAGCATAGAGTCATGGGAAACGCCTCTTCGAAATGCAGGCCTTCTAGAAGGCTTGATCCATAGCCAATACGATCATAGAACGTTGCGCACAGGAGCCTGCAGCATGCTACTGCATCTATCCTTGAGACTAGACAAAGAACACCTCAGCAAGAACGTCTACCTTTGTTCATGACTCATATTTCACTTACCACAGCGGTGCTAACAAGTGGGTCTCCTGCTTGCGGGCCTAGTGATGCGAATGTCCAATGGTTACGGAGCGACATCCAGCTGAACCGCAGTCGTCCCTGCCAAGTACCAGAAGTAAATGTTGATTGGCCTTCCGACCTAAATGGTGGGTCATCACTGCGTACATCCCGCAGTGGCCCTGAGGGGTTACTCGATTTCTTCCGCTGCGGTCCGGCGAAGCTGCATAAGGGGTGATTGTGGCGCGACTGCGGCGCTATACTGTAGATCAATTTATCACCGCAGCGCGGACATCTTGGTACAGTAGTGGGCCTTGGGGCTCTAATAGGCCAGGTTCTTATTTGGCTACGAAGCAATCTCCCGCAGCTGGCTGTGCACCGCAGGCGGCTTTGCCATACCAAAAATAGTTGCTAATTGGCTTCCTCACCTGACAAGGTGGGCCACTGCGTAAGGCACGCAGCGGCCCTCACTTTTCCTCGATCGTGACCGCTGCGGTCCGGCGAACTGCAGGGAAAGTCACTGCGGCACTAGTACCACGAACCTTGACGCTCGCGCTCCTTATCAACCAGGCGCATCTACATCGAAGTACACATCCGCTTAAGGCAGCGGCAGTGATCAAAAATCGCATTCGCCATTTGCAGCAGCGGCGTCGCGCAGCCGATCAAGACCATGAATGGACTGCTCGCAAAGACGGACATTCTACGCGACCATACTGCACCATTACGTGCATCCGCGACTTGGTCAACCGAGAACCTCTGGGTAAAAAAAAAGGTACCAAGTGGAAACTCCACGGTGGTCAGAGACACTCCATCGGACCGTAGGAATTCACACGCCAGCTCCATCATCAGCTTGCCCGAGATCAAGATCCTGGATTCGAACAGCTGCACGAGTGTGGTCGGACAGGGTATCTTATAAAAGCCACCCTTCTTTCCCGCGGATACACTGTGATGACAAAAGCTACGACTGTGGAGAAACAGCATCGCCTTCAAGTGGAAGTGGGCAATTATCACCGGCTTGGAAACTTATAGGGACAACTCATCCCTGTCTGTCTTGGGGTTCTAAGCCTCGCGTTGCATAATGAGACGAGGACTTGCTGAGCGCCCGGAGCACAGCGTTGCGGGTCCCGGAAGCAGAGCACGCCTGGGATATGATTTCGGTTACACCGCAGCGACCCTCAAGCTGCTTATGGGGAATCATTTAGCAGACCCCAACATCTCGAATAAGACCCACCCGCTTGACGTTAGTTTGCTGAATGGACTCGTTCACGGTTGACCATTGTCTAAGCGTATGCTCACAGGGTCGGGCGAAAATAATTTTCCGGGCTTGAACAGGGCGACCAATGAAAATCGAAAATCCTCAACGCCCCTAAGCTTGTAACCGAGCAGCCAAATTGATGATACTAAGTCGGCTCCTTGGCCAACTCAGAGCCATTCAACGTGAAAACGGGTCAGGCGGAGCACTAAGTTAACTGGGCATACAGAGGTCAAGTGAGGATTTGAGGAATCCTGCGGAGACAGGCTTGAGCGGAGTCAAGTCCTCAGGGCAATGTTATATTGAAGGCAGGAAGACGTTCCTGAGCGTAGCTAATTGTGAAGCTGCTAACAGGCAAAAGATGCAGTTCCCGCCTAGCCACGGTCTTCTAGAGTGGCTGGGACGGAGTTTGAATAGATCCAAAATCCGAATACGGGCAGCTAATGAAACGAAAAACGTAGCTCAACTCAAATCCTTTGAAACCAGCACACCGGAGAAAATCGGAAGACCAACGAACTCCATGGAAGGCTTCTATTGATTGTTCGCTGCCGAATGCGGAAACTGTTCGCACACGCAAATTGATATATATGGGAACCGAAAGCCATTGAGATGTCCATTATTTAATGAAACTATAATACATTTGCTTGCAATTTGCCACTTAGCCCCTCCTTTTAGACTCCTGTATCAGCTTAACTGAACGTACGAGCACACACCAGAATGATGACTTAGTACTTCCCCATATTCAGTCCATGCGATGTGGTAAGCTTTCCTCGCCACGACGGCTAACAGAAACACAGGTGCTCCAACTGCGCTAAAGAGGACCCAGATACATAACATAATCACGGCGCTCTTATAGTCCCACAGCACTTTCGTCGGCGATAAGGCGATCCTGATACTTGGTGGCGATACTTTGGGGCATGCCCATGAGGTACATGGCCAGTTGCACGTCCGGGTCGTGAGGCTTCGCCATGTTGCGCGCACGGACAGTACGGTCAATTTCTTTAATAGGGCCCACAGCCAATGGCCCAAGATCATGGCATCCTAGCTCTGGAAATAAGCAGTACAGGTTGAGTCCCACAGCAAAAAATTGTGCTAGAACCGCTAGACCGAGGTTGTCGTCAACGCCATCTCGCAGCATGACTGGAGGAAGCCAAAAGAGCCACTGTCGCAGAATGTGCACGCGCTGGAAAGCCTGATCTGGCGAAAGAGAACCAATATCACCAAGGAATTTATCTAGAAAATCCACCAGTTTGTTCACCTGATTGTAGTGCTTTTTAGTATGCACAAGTTGTCTCTGGATATGCCGCAGGACTGTAATCGTATCGGCAAGACCGGATAGATTCTTATTATTGAACTGGCAGCTCACGATAGAAGACGAGTGCAAAGTTTGAAGGTATTGTTCAGTCTCGAGGAACTTTGCCAGCTCGGACTCGTACCTCCTTTCCTGCGGCATGGAATAAAAGACAGCTTTCAAACCAGTCCACAACGCTATCCAGCTTGACCTAAACTTATCAGCACCCGTAGTATTGGCAAGAAGAGATTCTATACCGTTCATTGTCTGCCCATAATAGTAACATGGTAGCCGCAAGGACTTTATCATAATTCTCCCCGCAAAGCTTGCTAGAAGATATACGTAGTTGCTCGACTGCAGTCTGACGAAAGTAGAAATATGTCTGTTTTATTCCCACCTTCGGCTCGATTGTAGCTAACAAGGATGCGGATAGGGTGAGGAGCGAGCTCATTACTAAATTATCGGAGCCTGCCATAGAATAGAATCTGTATATGATATCAGCTCTGGCTTCGATATAAATTAGAATTACTTACAGAGGCAGCTTCTGAGCCCAGATTGTGTAGTCTCTCATGCCGCGCTGTTCCAGACTTTCGTAGAGCTTGGTAATAAGATCAATGAGTTTGTTAAGCGGCAAGTAGTTCAGTTTCGGTCTGATAGGCCGCCAATACTTAGGCCCTTCCTCGATTTCTGCTGTGATTGTGTATTTGCAGGAGACGCTGCGCTTGCTGCAACTTCGACTGCACTGGTCAACTGACTCGGCACCATGCACTGGGCTCCGTGGGAAGGCATACCATTGCGGCAAGGATTTATCGCATTTTTCATGGCGCCGTTTACATGACTCGCAGTTCATGGGGGATTTTTCCTGGTGACAGCCAGAATTGGGCATCTTGATATGATTTACTCGATCAAACTGGGAATTAGAAGGAAAGATATCCACTGTTTGGTCTAAGTAAATGCAATGAGACATTGCCTTTAAACTCCACCCACAGGTATCTACTAGTGGCTGCGTCCTCTTTTATCACTTTAGTTGCTCTTAGGACAAACTGCTCAATAATCCTTAGAAAGCTTAAGCGAACAAAAATAACACCCGATGGGAAAAATCCTGCTTGATTGGAGATAGGTCGCCTCGCGTGTGTATTGAACAGCATGAGTGTCCTGTTAGAAGATCATACCTAGAAAGGGATTCGTCTACTGAAGTTGAATAAGGCGCTAAAGACATACCCAATGAACATCGGTGGGCCAATCTAGACTGGTCCGAGAGATTTTCCCGATACTACATTCAATACAGCTTTTCAAAACACCGTAATATGGTCCGAAGTGGATACGAGTGGGGCAAGGAGAAAGTTCTGGACACTAATGCAGTCCATGGTATGCTGTTCATAATAGAGCTTCCTGACTTATCTGAGATGACCCTGGTGGAAGTATTCGCGGCACAAAACGCGTGTGGTTGAGTTAATATTTTAGGGGATTTAATTCCTGGGGCTGAGAGCGTTCTCACTTAATTATTTGTAATATTACAAGATCTCATCCGGTAATAAACCATGTGAAAGCAGTATATAATCTACTACCGGCAGTGTTGCCTACAGTGCCCAGAATACTCTCTAGTGTCGTGAAAGCGAAGTATCTATTCTATTCATACCAGTTCTTCTGCTCCGTACTCAGGAGTTTGACCAGTAATACCAACATATTCTCCCACAATGAATCCTACCCATGCGGTGTCCAGTATCCTGCCACCTGAAGCTATACTAGAGAGACTTCTACCGGGCCACGACTTTCTAGTGCGCCTTCACTTTTCCTATTCTCAGTAAGACGCTTCAATATATCTGCTCAGCGCATTGGTCTGTCTCGTACTCTTCGCATATGCTGGACCGATACTCAGTTTTGAGACGAATAAGCATCCTGCCCCGTCAGCCTCTGCCTATAAGACGCGGCTCGAGTGTATCTAAAATCGTGCTTCTTCAACGGACCGATGTGTCAGACAGATCAAACCGGAAGCTGCACGGCAATTTCTCTGGATTGTGTTAGTCTATAGAAAATCGCTGAGCAATGGCTAGGATGGTGCTGACCTGCGCATCTGCCATAGTTCATTAAAGATATCAAATAGACGTTTACCGAAAACCCCGCACACTGCGAGTACATAGAATATACAGATCAGGCACAGCACAACAGCTAGTTCGTACATAGTAGACGTGGTCGTAAGGTTATTCAGAGGACGTTATGAGTTCAGTAGATGGCCAAGGAGCAAGGTGTATGGGGATGTTAAACCAGCCTCTGGTTACCCCTGGCATCTTTATAAGAGCGCTCCTAAGTATTAGCAGTATAGCACGTGTCCCTGCTCCAGACATCAGAATGCCCATCTTCGTTGTTTACAGGCAACACTAATTCTAGGACCGGATACTGCAGCAACTCCGTTGGTCAATTGTTATGCACCATGAAATGTAGCCTGCGGTCTAGAAAGACAAAAATTGGAACACATGGGTAGTCGTTGTATGCCAGGCAATTCCGCTCAATTCATTGGCAGCCAGCGGCTCCATACGCTTTTAGACTACCGCACGATAAGTCAGGGGAAAGCACATCCACTGGGCAATCTCCAATCTCCACCGACGATCATTACCAAAAGGGAAATGTTCGCCTTATATTACAATACGTACGGTTTCAATACACCAAGATATGGTGACTACCTCGGGAAAGGCGCTGATACGTCCGACGCAAAGGCCTACCTATCAGGAGTTTGGGAAGAGCAATCAACATTGACGACATGCCCTTTGCATGTACCCGGTAGGAAAAGAAAGATCATTAGATAACCCTTGATTTAAAGTCCAACATTCTGCATTTTCCGGCCATCATGACCTCCCTCCACGACTCCTCGAGACCTTTCGCCCATGTTTCGCCTCTTTTATCGAAATTTGAAACAATCATGGTAAGTGGTTACCCTTATTCACATAACTTCACTAATGCCAATGGATAAGGCTCCCCACACTCTACTTCCGGAAGCGATCCTGGTATTCCCGGCTCAATCAACCGTCAAGGCGGTACATATTTATTTTCTGGGATTGATATACGGCTCGAATTTCGTGAACATATCCCGCTTGGATCAAAATGAAACGGTCTGTCGACATGTAGAAGAGATCTCCAGCGACCTCACTCCAGACGCCTTACTAAAGCTGTCTCTCCTCACGTGGCATTTTGATGCAAGAGGCGATTTCTCCCAAGAGCTCCTTCAATTCATTACCGAACTGGATGAGTTTGAGGAAGTATGCCAGGTTATCTGGGAGCGGTATAGCGATCATTCGGAGCATTATGTGTCATGCAAAGTCTTCACGGTTGAGATGCTAAGACTGATACGTTTTCTTGAAGGGTATGTTGCCAGAAGTTGGACCGAAACATGTGGTAGGAGTGGCTAGCTACACTCATTTTGCGAAAGGGAGTATTGAACTGAGGCTGCATCTGGACAATATCATCCTTTGTAAATATAGAAAGGTATGTAGCAAAGTGGTAACGCTTTTCACGGGCATATCTCCATCCTATG